GCCCACTCAAATCGCTTGTCCCCTGGGGGGAAGGGCGGCGGGGGTCAGGGGGCGGCAGCCGGCACGCCGTGGCTCCGGCAGCACCGTCACCGAGTGACGTTTGGGATCCCCAGATCCCCATTTTGTCCCTGCATTCCCCTAAACCAGCCACGGTCAGGCCAGCGGGGACCTCCCGGCCCGTGACACCTCTGTCACCACCATCATCAGGAGAGCCCAAAGCAGCAGAGACCCCCCAAGCTCTTCAGTCCCTCCCAGTAACTCAGCAAATCGCAAGACCAACTTGCGCTAGCCCAAGATCATCCCAGCCCTCGGCTCAGCGCATCCCCTTGGATCTCATAAGGCTCAGGACCCCGCGCGGGCTGGGCCACGATTCGGGGGCTGCCCTGGGAGGGAGGGGACCGCGCCACGGTGCCGAGCCGTGCCCTGCGGGGCCGCAGACCTGTGTGCGTGCGAGCGTGCCGCTGCAGCTCGTCGCTGCGTGTGAAACGCTTCCCGCAGAAGACCCAGTTGCAGACGAAAGGACGCTCGCCCGTGTGCAAGCGCACGTGAGCGCGCAGGAGCGAGGTCTTCCGGAAGGTCCTCCCACACTCGGGGATGTGGCAGATGTGCTTCTTCTTCCCTGGGTCCCCCGGCCTGGCAAGGAAAGTCACAGTTAGCCTTGGAGACGGGTGCCGGTCCCGCAGGGCTGCCCCTCTCCCGCTCCGTGCTCACCTTTTCTCCCCGTCCTTGCAGTTGGGGCAGGTACACGCCATCCGCCGCCTCTTCTCCCCCGGCTGGATCTCTCCAGACAGCGCTTGCTCCATCTGGAGCTGGATCTGAGTCGGGCTCAGGCCGCTGATGGTCAGGTTGTTGCCGGACACGTTCTGCACAGTCAGCTGCTGCTGGCCTGGGGAGGAAAAGGGAGGGGTCAGGCTCTGCCCCTCCGCTCCCGGGGGGCCGCGCTGTGCGCCGGCCGGAGGACAGACCCCGCCGCGCGGGGGACGGGACACCCCGGGTCTCGACGCCCCCAGCCCCGCATGCAGCAGCACCACGGCCCCCCTGCCCCGCCACGTGCTGGTCCCCAAGCGGGGCCGGTAAGTCCCTTTTTTCTGAATATACTGTGCGGTTTTTCAAAGTTTTCGGTTTGACCCTTCGGGGTGGGGAAATGACCAAAGAGGAAACAAAAAAGAAACTTTGAAAAAACGTGCAATATATTGACCAAAAAAACGGGACTTACCCCGGACCCTAAGGGCCGCTCCACGCTCGGGCGCTCACGGAGGCGGCAGCCTGGGCCTTGCACAGCACCCGGCAGCCGTGACGGGGGCTGGAAAGAAGAAGACGGGGTCAGCGTCAGCAAGCGGGATCGCTGCTCTCGGGGGCAGTGGGGAAGGAGGAGTGGGATTTGACGGTGGAACGAAGAAGGGGTGAGTACAGAAGGGGAGGATGGGATCGGGGGGGTGCAGGCAGAGCAAAGGTGCCACCACATCCACTGGGAGGGCAAGCGCGAAGCCGAGGGACGGGGCAGCCCTTTGGCAGCACCGCAAGGCACACGGCCGCTCGGGAGGCAGGCACGGCCTGGCTGAACCCAGGCTGAGACCTGACTCGATTCGTTTCATTCACAGGCAGCAGCCAGCAGGTCCTACCGGTCCCCTTCGCAGCCGGGGCTGCAGCAAGGCCCCCGCCAGCCTTGCGGCGCGTTGCGGACAGCAGCAACATCTGCCTGTGGCATCTCCCTGACGCTCACGGCTGGCCCCACATTTCCATGCGAAGCAGCAATTAAAAACCCCCTTAAAAGCAACCCCAGCGAGGACGGCGGCCCGCTGCGGAGCGTGAAACCACGCTGGCTCGTGTTTTATGCTGACATCGTTTAGTCAAGCAAGAAAGAACAGCTTCCGACTGCAAAACCGAGCCGGGACTCCTGCCGGTTCTTGCTGAGAGAGAAACCACCGCACGGCAGCAGGTCTTTCCGGATCAGAAAGCAGATAAAATTCCCTCAGACACAGCTTCCTCCCCTCTGCTCCCTGGTCCCAGCCCACGCCACTGGGACCGGGCTGGGGAAGGTTTGCCGGGCAGGAGGAGAGGACAGAGCGGCTGCTGGGACGCGGTTCTCCTGGCAGCAGGGAGATGAGGAGGCAGACGTGCACCAGGGCTGTCTGCAGCTCCCAGACCACTCCAGCCACTGGCCAGGGCCACGTCTGGCTATTTTCGGCTTAAGGAAGCCACTTGGCCCACCGAGGTGAGGGCTGGGTTCCCTCAGAGGGAATGGTGATCCCTCACTACAGAGGTTGGAGGAGCACAGAGCTTGTGTGTGTGAACGCACCTCTCCTGATTTGGCTACTGGAAGCCCAAACCAGCAGCCATCGCACCCAGGGGATGCGAGGAGAGATGTCCCAGCCCCGGGACTGGGAGCTGGCAGTGCTACCTGTGGTAGGGGCTGCTGGCCCAGGGGTGCTGCGGGAGGAAAAGCCCCGGTGCACCCCGTCCCTCAGCCCGGCTGGGTGCCGGCGCTCCCCGAGACACGCGTCTCGCCCCAAGGGCCTGGGCACAGCTCAGCCTTCCCCCTGCAGAGAGCTCGGGAGCAAACAGAGCTGGGCTGGGCTCCCGGGCAGCCTCAGCCCCTGCGCTCAGACGTGTCCTGCAGCTCGGCACGACCGCACAGCCTGACCCTGCAGGCGGCTGTCTCCGCTAACCGCCCTCCCTGACACAGCTTACCGCGATGGGCTTGGAAACACCCAGCAGAACCACCAAAGAGCCACCCTATGAAACACCCGGGGCCTCCTGGAAGGACGGGAGCTAGAGAAGCTGATGACATTTAACAGTCAGCAACATTCAGCCTCAGGGTACAAGGGATCTGTTTACAAAGCTGCAACATCCCAGCTGCAAAGCGTGCTGCTAGCAGGGGGGAGCTTTCTGTCCTCCGGATCAGGGAGCTGCCTACGTCCTGCTGTCCCTCCCGCCCCATCGCAGAGCAGGGCGCAGCCCACCTCCGGTGTTGGTGATGGTGACAGGCACGCCCTGGACTTGCACGCCGTTGATGTTGATGGTCTGCATGGCCTGCGCTGCGGCTGCCAGCTGAGCTGCGTTCAAGCTGATGATGCCTCCGGCGGGGGCGATCTTTGGCAGAGTGCGTTCTTTGCGCGTGGCTGGTTTCTTGCTGCTGCCCCCCGTGCTGGAGCTGCGGGACACGGGGCTGCTGCAAGAGGTCCCAGACGGAGCCACCGTCATGGCTGGAGCTTCCTGGAGCAGCACTGTCTGCAGCTCGCCCGACGGCGTTTTGAAGTAGACCTGACGGGGAGAGAGAAGAGGAATGAGATCAGCCGCTGCCACCAGGCAGAGCCCCCTCCACCACGACGGTCGCCCTCCCCACACAACCCAGAAATCGGGGCCTGTGATGAGCCAAAGAGCAGGAGAAGTTGCCCGAGCATCTAAGACCCTTTGCGGGTCTCCTGAAGAAGGTCCTGGTCTTGCATGGCAGCAAAGGGCTGCTTCGGCCTTGCAGCCTGGTTTCCAAAGGCAACACTAAAGACACAGTCCTACAGGCTGTGAGCCCCACTCCCTCCGTCTCCCAAGAGCTTCTGGCTCATCCCAACCCGAGCTGATGGCACAGCAGAGGTTTCAAGGACACCACACAGGTGGCCAGCAAGAGAGACTTAATAAAGCCCTGTGGAGAGAAGAGCTGTGCTCCCAACCCTTCTTAGACATCAGAGAATCCACGGAAGCGATGCCTAAACTGGACACCAAGTTGAGGATGTTTGGCGGCTCAAAAAAACCCTTCAGCTTTTTAAAGCCTGGGTAAGAGCTCTGAGGAGAAACAGGGCAGAGGGACCTTGCAGGAGGACACAGGAGGCAGTACCTGCGTAGGAGTGGGTTCCGTCGTCTGGATCTGGAAGTTCTGCGAGGATTTTTGGGGGACGGTGGGGAGCGTGGCGGAGGCGGCCTGGACCACACGCAGGGCCTGCTGCGGGATCTGCACCACCTGCGACTCCTGCTTGGGCTGCACCACCTGTACCTGCTGCACCACGGCCGGCTGGCCGGAGCCCGGGCTCTGCACGATGAGCAGGTTGTTGCCTGCCTGGATGATGTTCTCCGCCGTGGTCTCTATTAACACCGTCTCCACCTGCTCGGCCACGGCCACGGCGGCGGGCTGGGCGGGCGACATGGCTTTCTTTCGAGTCTTTTTGCTGGGCTTCGAGGGGCTCTCTGCAAGGATCTGAGCCTGCGCGCCCGGCTCAGCGGCATTCACCAGGTTGTTCACGGGCAGGGTAAGAGTCACGTTGCTGCCGCCAGCTAACTTGACCACGTTGCTTGTGCCCTGCACCGGCGAAGCTCCACCCTTCTGCACCGGAGCGGGTTTGATGGGCACAGGCTTGTGAGAGGAAGAGGAAGGGGTGAGGATTGCTTGATTCGTGCCCGGAATAATCTGGATCTGGTTGGTGAGGTTGGGCTGGACCTGGATGGTCTGTCCCCCCGCGGCCTGGATCTGGGGCACCGCCTGGTACTGGATGTTGGCGGACGAGCGGCTGCCCTTGTTGATGACAGTTGGGTTCTGAATGGCAAAAACCAGCTGCCCCCCGGGGTAGGAGGTGCCGACCTGAGAGCCCTGGATCTGGAAGAGGTTCCCTTTCGATGACAGGATCCCAAAGCTGTTCTTACCGGAGCCCAGAGGGAGCGGAGCAGGTTTGATGGGGACAAGTTTGCGAGGTGTTGGCTGAGGAGGGGCAGGAGGAGTCACGGCGGCTTCCACTGCGGGGGGACCGATTTTGCTACATGTCGCTGCGAGGAGGGCGAGAGGAGACGGCTGGGAGTCCTGGAGAGCCAGAAAGGAGACGGGTAAGTTAGAGACAGGGGCTTGTGCCAGACATCAGGAGGTCGAGTCAGCGAAGGAAAGGGTACACGCTATCGAAAGCAATCCAGTCCATGCTAATGAGACACCCCTTATTAAGGGAACTGCTTAATTACCCGTATCACGTGTGCCTTTAGCTCACCCCAGTCACACTACTTTTAGCCATCAGGATGGCAACTGCCTTTTAATCGTGTGCCTATGTTCTTACAGCCTCTATAAAGCTGCAAATACCCTGCAAGGCTGCTGGTATTTACACCCATTACACACACCCTGGAGTGTTTCATGCAGTTTTAATTCCAAGACCACCTCATGATATCAGCTGCTAACACAACCCAAGAGATTCTTAAGGAAAACACAGCGCGGGGAGGAGAAACAACACTCCGGAAGAGTTGGCGTCGGGGCTGGGAACAAGTCCAGAGCGCGGCTCCCCAGCCTGTCCTGCAACTAGCCCGCCTCCTGACGCGGCAATGCTGGCTACAGCGGAGGCAGGAGGGGCCGAACGATGCAGCATTTGCTGTCGCGCACCCCAGGACACGTCCCTCCACCCCAGCGAGAAGCCGGGAGCCTGCTGCTGCCCCCGTACTCACCTGGGCAGTGGAGGCGGCCGGCTGCCGGGATTCACTGGGGGCGAAGGTAGGA